TCCCCGCAGGTCCAACAGGCCCCACAGGTCTCGCACGTCTCTCAGGTCTCGCATGTCCCGCTGGTCCCACAGTTCCCACAGGTCCCACGGGTCCCACAAGTCCCACAGCTGTCGCAAGTCTCACAAGTCCCGCATGTCCCGCATATCTCACGTATCCCACAGGTCCCGCAGGTCCAACAGATCTCGCAGGCGCCGCAGGCCTCGCAAGTCTGGCAGGTCTCGCAGGCCCCACACGTCCCATAGGTCTTGGCAGAGACCCGCCACTTTCCCCAAAAGAGAAGAAAAAAGGCCAGTGCATGCAGGTCAGAGTGAGGGGGCCGAACGGTCATTCAGTGTCCTTGGGTGCGTGGCTGAATCCGGAATTCGTGGTGAGAGTTCTGCTTGTTGCGTTGTTGTTGTAATTGTTGTTGTTGTTGTCGTCGTCGTCGTCGTCGTCGTCGTCGTCGTCGTCGTCGTTGGTGTTGGTGTTGTTGTTGTTGTTGGTGGTTGTGTTGTTGTTGGTGTTGGTGTTGGTGTTGGTGTTGTTGTTGCTGCTGCTGCTGTTGCTGCTGCTGTTGCTGTTGTTGGTGTTGTTGCTGTTGTTGTTGTTGTTGTTGTTGTTGTTGTTGTTGTTGTTGTTGAACTCTCATTCCTGAAGAATAAGTACTGTTGATCCCCCCCACCGGTGCATATTGTTCTTTCTCAATCAAAGTGTGCACCTCGACGCTCGCACCCTGTTTTTTGACAGGGAAAGTCTTCCTGCTCAAACTGATCCCCTGGCCCCCGTATTACAACAACAACGGCTCCCGCTTGAGACTTCCTTACAATTTAGCCAGGACCCCCGCTCCCGCCCGATACTTCCTTACATTTTATTCAGAAATCGCGCTCTCGCTTGGTATTCTTCGCAATTTATGCAGGAATCGCTCTCCCGGCGCTCTGGAGTCGCGCTCTCGCTGGATACTTGCTTGCAACTTACTGAAGAGCGGCCTTGCGTTGGAATTTCTTGCCATTTGCCCAAGCGCCGCGCTCCCGACACCCTGGCACCCAGGAGTCGCGCCCGTTGTGGCCCCATGTGCATGCCCTTCGTGGCCTCGTTGTCGCCATTTGTGGCCCCCTCACTGTCCTACGTGGTCCAGTTGCTACCCTCAGTGGCCCCATCGTTCCTTTTTGTGGCTCCGCATTATCTGCCCTTCGTGGCCCCCGCTCGTTCGCGTTCTTCGTGGCCCCATACGCATTCCCTTCGTGTCCCCGCTGTCGCCCTTCGTGGCCTACTTCGTGTCCTTCGTGGCCCTGCTGTCGCTCTCTCTCGCTATCGCTTTTGCTCGCCGTCGCCGTCGCCGTCGCCGTCGTCGTCTTCGTCGTCGTGGTCGGTCCCCTGTCCGTCCCTCTTGGGGTCGGGTCGACGGTCCGCGGCCGCCCCGCCGATCAGCGCTGCCGCTGGCCAGGCCGACGGTCCGCGGCCGCCCCGCCGCTTGCCGGGGCCCGGCCTGCAGGGAAGAAAGGTATACCCCCCAAACGGGGTTCGATCGAAGACGAAGAGGGCGGGTATCGAGGGTTTGGGAAACACGCGTTCTTGGACACTCGAGCAAATAAGAGCGAACAGTCTTAAAATCATTGTTGTTATTGTTGTTGTTGTTGTAGTTGGTTGCATCGTCCCCACCACCGTCGGGACTCAACCCAGCGACCCACCCTGAGAGCGAGAACCCACCGGGGCCCGCGACCCAACGCCGCGTTGGGAGACCCACCTGCCGAGCCACCACGCGCTCATCAAACCCGCGACCTAAAACCCGCCCACACTCCGCGACCCCACTCCCGCGACCTTCCCGCGACCCCCCCGCGACCCCCGCCCGCGGCCCGCTCGCGAACCCTCCCCGACCCACCCGCAGACCCAACCCCCCCGCCCGCGACCCATGGTTTTAGGGGCCATCCCATGGGGCCGCGTGGGGGGGGGGGGGGGGCGGGGGGGGGGGGGGGGGGGGGGGCATCCGCGACCCACTTGTCATCCATCCCGCGACCCACCCGCGATACACCCTCAAGGGAGGACCCCACCCCCAGGACCCAACAATTCACGTTTATTACAACGGCCGTGGGAGTTGACTAAGCAGCTTTGCCCTGTTCGGTTCAGTCCTTGTGTGCGTTTACTAAATGGCTTCGCTTGTCGGGGTGGGGCGGAAAAATTATTGGGGTGGATTTCCTGCTTTCGACACCCGCGACCCACCCGCGATTAACCCGCGACCCAACAGCGACCCACCCGCGACCCACCCACATTGGTTTAACGAAGAAAATCGGCGCCTGCGGCGGGCTCGTTTCGCAAACAGCCGACCTCCCCACCGCCCCCTCACGCTTATCCGCGTAACTCGCTTTTGTTGTCCCATGTTGCGATCCGGCCGTGCCGTCGATCATTGCCCCGAACTTCGAGGCAACAGCAGCAGGCGCCTCGACGAGCAACTGGCAGCCAGCGTGCATGCGAGCAGCAGAAGCCTCGAAGATGTTCCAGGGGACGCTGGACGTTCGACTTCGGACGCTGAGTTGGTTCCCCGTCCTGGCCCCGCTGGACCCCTACCAGGACCGCGTTCCAAGGTCCAAGGACATCCTCCTCCTCCTTCCTCCCCTTGCCCGAGCATGTTTCTTGTATTTGTATGCGTGCTCAAACACAGATACCTTCATCGTGCCCACTGTCGTTTGCGAGCGAGGAGGAAGAGGAGGAGGAGGAGAAGGAGGAGGAGCAGGAGGAGCAGGAGGAGCAGGAGGAGCAGGAGGAAGGAGGAGGAACAAACGTCGCAGTCTATTTCAGCACTCCCCTTGTGTGGCGTTCAGCTGTCCGCAACAGATTCTCACCGACATGTTCCTTCTACCTGTCCTGTGAACGCAGGCGCTGGTGTACACCAGCGCTGTGTTGCACGCGAATGTCGTGGTGTTCACCGGCGCCGTGGTGTGCACAGGCGCTGCGGTGCACACGATTCCTGGTGTACGCAGGCGCTGTGTTGCAGACGGCTGCTGCTGCGGTGTACACAACAGTTGTGGTGCACGCAAGCAGGGGTGTATACAGTGGCGTTGCGTTCCACTCGGCTGTTGCGGTGTACGTAGGCACTTTGGTGCACACGCGCGCTGTGGTGCACGCGAGCACTGCGGTGTACACAGGCGCTATGGTGCATATCGCCACCTACATGCTGCTCCTTCTTGGCCCGGGTCATCCCCAGGCATTCCCCAACGCCGCCGGCGCGGAACGTGATGTCACCTAGGGGGGGGCGCGGGGCCGGTGACGGCCGCGATCGCGGAAAATTAAGGGAAACATGCTTTTGGCCCACGGCCATGCTTTCTCGGGCGCGCCAGCGTCCTGGTTCCCAAGGTCCCCGCTCGGGGGCTCCTGCGGGGTGGCGCAGGGGGGCGGCCGTCAAGAAGGCGGCGCGCAGGTTTTCAGATGTCTTTCACGCGTCGGCTGATTCGGCGCCGCGGGGTGCTTTCCATGAGCGTTGCCTCGTCGAGCGCCGTGTGGTGGTGCCGGGGTCGTCCCGAGTGGCCGCCCGGGGCCCGAGCTCTGGCCCGAAGGCAGGGCACGTCCGCGGGGGTGGCCGCCGTCTTCAGAAGGCGGGGGTGGGTGCTGCTTCGGTGGCCGCCCCCCTTTAGCGTCACCCTCTCACAGACGGCGACGGGGGGGAGACCAGCTCAGAGAGGGTACGCGCCCGTCGCTGGATGTGGGTATTTCTGCAATTGTGCCCAGATCCCGAATTACTTCAGGCGCCCTCCCACTGCAAGAGTCGAGTCTTATTTCCTCGGCCCTCGTTCTCAAATGGCGATCGGAAGTCCGATCTGCTTTCAGTGCCCTCCTACGTCGTGTTTCCACCCACTTCTTTCGACCGGCGGGCAAAAATCGACCACCAATCGCCCGTTCATCCCCAATTGGGTTTTTGGCCCCCCACCCCGCCCAGCAGCATCCGGTGTCGCCGCCGTTGGCCTATCACGAGGGGGGCGCGGGGGAGGATGAGGGCGCTCTTTTGAGGGCCGACGCAGAGAATCGGCAGCTAGCATAAGCATAAGCTGTCCGAGGTTTGCGCAAATCCCTTGCATCGGCGCTGGAGCCCCCTCGCGCGCTCTGCGCGGCAGGAAGGGGGCCCACCGTCTTTCCAAGGAGCTCGCGTGGACCTCTGAGAGGTAGATCAGCTTCAAAACTCGCAGAATGTATTCTTGAGGGTTTTACACGAGGCCGGTTCCCCCAAGTGTTCTTTCTGTTAGTCATATTGCAGAGCTCATGCTCCTGATTGCAGCTTGTTTTCTCTGTCGAGAGGAGAAGGCAGGGGGGGCCCTTCCTGCCCCCCCCGACTGCCGGTCGGGCTCGGCAGAGGCCTCCCGGACAGCAACCGCCCCTGCGCTCCCCCCCGGCCCCTCGGAGAGGGCCCCTCCTCGCGCGCCGCCAGCCTGCGCGTGCCTGCCAGTGACGAACCAACAACACACACACACAAACACAAACACACACACAAACACAAACACAAACACAAACACAAACACAAACACAAACACAAACACAAACACAAACACAAACACAAACACAAACACAAACACAAACACAAACACAAACACAAACACAAACACAACCACAAACACAAACACAAACACAAACACAAACACAACCACAAACACAAACACAAACACAAACACAAACACAAACACAAACACAAACACACACACACACACATACCCATAAGGGGATCGGAGAGGGCTATGGGTGCGTGTTGTCGGAGGGGGGCCCCCGCTCGAACGGGAGCGCTCCCCAGGGTCCGACAACCCGCACCCATGCCCACAGCCAGTCCTCCCGACCCAGACCCCCGACGTAATGATTTTTTCATTACGTCGACCCCCAGAGGTCCCGACCGGCTTTGGAGTCGTTTTTGGCCGCTCCCGAGGCCCAGTGAGGGCCCCCGGAGGCCGAAAATCGGGAAAAACCTCCCGTCATGATTTTTTCATAACTCGAGGGGGTCTGGGTATGGGCATGGGTGTGTGTTGTTCGCTCGTGCCTGCCAGAGGACCAGGAGTACGAGTTCTGGCGCCACGAGGACGGCGGCCTGGACGCGGGGAAGACGCTGGCCAGCACCTTCGCGGCGGTCCAGCGGGCCGCGGCCGACCTGAAGGCCCCGCCGGGGGGACGCGCCGGCCCGGGCCGGGGCGCCGACGACAGGCAAAAACCCCGAGAAGGACGCGCGGCTTTGCTCGGGGTGCCCTCGCGTCCTTGCTCTGCCTTGCGCTTGCGTCCTCGAGGTTCTCGTCGCCCGCCGCCCCAGACATCCCGGCTTCGGCTTCCGAGGGTCTCGCGTCCTTGCCGCGCGTCCCTGGTATGGTTTTTGGCTGTAGGGGCCGGCCGGGGCCGCGCCGCCCGACCCCGGCGGGCCGCGGGGCCGCTCCACCACAGACGGGGCCAGCGGAGGGCGGGGAGCGGGGGCCGCCAACAGGCCAGCCACAGTTGGGGGGAGTTGTGTTCCTTACCCCCTGGGGGGGCCCCTCGATTTCGACACCCCGCTCGAGAGGTCGTCGATGCGATGGGTTCAGGGAGGAAGGACCACAGCTCCCCAGTCATGGCTGGTCGGGCCAAGGGTGCCCCCCCCCCGGGGCTTTTCCTCCCTGCGCCGTCGGGCCCCTCCCTGGGGCCGTCCGGGCCCAGGGAGGGGTGGTGCCCTGGAGGCCGGGGGTCCGAGGCGGGAATTTATCCCTATCCACCGCCTGGAGGGGGAGTTTTCGGCGCCTCGGCAGGCGGGGGGCACATGCGAACCCTAATCCAATAGCCCTTATAACGGCGACGATGGAACACAGTGCCGGGGAACTGCTTTGAACATCACCAGTCGTTCAAAGCAGTGCCCCGGCACTGCTTTGAACGATGCGGAAATGCGATCAGCAGGAGCCTTCGTCTGTTCCTTCTCCTCTTCTCGTCGCTGTATGCTCTTCCTTGTCCTCCCTCCTCCCCCGTTCCCTCTCTAATTAATTACCTCGTTCTCCCAGTCTCACGCGCACTCTTCCTCCCCCCTCTCCTCCTCCTCTTCCTGCTTCTCCTCCTCGTCCTCCTCCTCCTCCGCCTCCTCCCCCTCATTTGTTATATTTCTCCGTCCTTGTCCTCCTGTCCCCGTTCTCCTTCTCCCTCTCCTCCTCCTCCTCCTCCTCGTCGTCGTCGTCCTCCTCCTCTTCCTCCTCCTCCTCCTCCTCCTCCTCTTCCTCCTCCTCCTCCTCCTCCTCCTCCTCACCTTCTTCCTCCTCCTCCTCCTCCCCCTTTTCCTCTCCCTCCTCCTCCTCCTCTCCTCCTCCCCCTTCCCCCTCTTCCTCCTCTGCTATCACTCCTCCATAATTCCTGTCCGCTCCTCCCCTTCACTGATCTTCCTCTTCGTCATCATCATCCCTTTCGTCGCACGCCTCTTAATCCTCAATCGGTTCCCAATCTTCTCGACTTTCTTGTCATCCGCGTCCTTGGCTGTTGGAGGGGCCTCAGGAATTCTCAGGGCTCTTGTGTTGCACGCGAAGGCACACCTCCCAGGAACGCATCATCCTCCTCACATTCACCCTCCTCCTCCTCATCCTCCTCCTCCATGCACGTTCGGCTCAAGCCCGCGCCGACGGTAGGTTTCACGGCGGTTGGGCGGGCTCGCGCCCGCCTCCGCGGCCTGCAGTCGGGGCAGAGATGCGTGCAGGGTGGGATGACAAAGCGGAAGAGGAAACACGGGCCGCAGTTGCGGATTCTTCAAAGAGCAGCGGCGGCGGTTGGGGAACAAGTGGGGTTGGGGCGGCCGCAGTGGCGGATACGGCGGCGGAGGTGACCGCAGTGGCGGCTGGGGCGGCGGAGATTCTCTTGGCGGATGGAGAGGAAAAGCGCAGGATGGCGGCGACGGAAGTGACCGCAGTCGCGGATGGGAGGGCGGCGGATGGGGCGGCAACGGATGCGAGGGTTGGGGAATGGAGGGCGCCCGCTGGTGGGGCGACGAGGGTGGCTGGTGGAATGCATGGGAAGGTGGCCGCTCGAGTGCCTCGGCAGGTTCTCCTGCCGCGGAGCCCGCGGCCGCAACAGCGGCGGGCAAAGGAGGCGGTCCCCTGCTTCCCCCAGGGCGCGAAGAACAAGGCGCAGTTGCGCTGTTTCAAATTGTGCGCAATGAGCCGCTGCCAATTTTCAAGTTGGAATTCTTCGAGAACTTCAGGGCGAACTGGAACGGCAATTATAAGCAGCACAACGCGGCCTTGAAGTGGTTCCGAGACGAGTACGAAGACCGAGAAAACCCTTTCGGCAGCCGCACGCCCGTCTTCGGAGGTACCGCAGTTGCGGAGGAAATTTCGAAGATCCTTAAGTACCGCGCAAAGGGGAAGGCGCAGGACAACAGGGATTGGGACTGGGACCACACTGTCAAAGTGCCGTGGTCTTGGCTGGAGATGGTCGCGCAGATGGATGGACCTACAATGCTGCGCGTCGTGTGCGGCCCTGACAATGACCGCAGTCGCGGGTTGGTCCGCTGCGAGTGCCGCCCGTGCCCTAGCAGTCTCGACAACATGAGGCACACGAAAGGGGTGGACAGAGGACAGGCGCAAAGAATCCCTCTGCCCCAGTGGGATTTCGTCCTCATCCGCGACGACGGCTCGGGCATTCGCGTCCACCCATCCTGGTCTAGCCCGAAGTTCAACACGTATGAGGTGGAGCCGCACTCGCATCCCGTGCGGGGCCCGAGGGCAGGTCTCGGCAAGAGCGATGGCCACGGAACGTTCACGTTCTGGAAGATGCTGCACGCCCATCCGAATCCTGGGCGGTTCGACGCGAGCAAGGGGGCGCAGCTGCAACCGCGGTGGTCCGCGCAGCCTTGACACCGCAGTTGCGGGATTGCGCAGCCATGGAACCGCAGTTGCGGGGACCGATCGCGTGACGCCGCGCTCGTTTGACTCACTATGCGCGCTTTCGGCCGCAGTTGCGGCGCTGCCTTCTAGCGACTTCATACAGCTTGGCCGCAGTTGCGGCGCTCCCACGACTGACCGCTGTAATTAGGTGCTTCGGGCGCGCATCACCTCCGTTGAAGCACTCGTGACGTTAATTAGCGCGGCCGCAGTTGCGGAGACAGGTACTTAAACAGATGGATCCGCAGTTGTTCGTCGTCCTCGTCGCCCCTTCCCCGTCGTCCTCGTCGCAGTCTCCTCCCTCCGCCTTTCCTCCTCGTCGCAGTTCCTTCCGTTGGCCGTAGCCCGCCTCCGTTGGCCGAGTCATTTCCCGTCGTCCTCGTCGCAGTCCCCCCCGAGGGCCGCAGTTGCGGACTTTGTTGATTCCTCCTCCTCCGTTTCTGCCCCGTCATCCTCGTCGCAGTCCCCTTGCTCCTTTCACCCTCGTCTGAGCTCTTCGCGCCATCCTCTTCCGTCGCGTCCTCTCCATCCTCCTCTTCGCCTTCCTCGTCCTCATCCCCGCCGTCTCCCTCGTTGCCCTTCCTCTCCCAAGCCGGCCGCAGTTCCCCCGTCGGACGGGGGCCGCGCGCGGCCACGCCATGGACCCAGGTCGCAAAGCCGAGGTCGACAAGCGGTTCGCCGAGCTGAAGCAGCAACTGCGGGAAAGGTTCGGCCTGCAAGGGGCTGCCGCGGATGCCGCAGTCGCGGAGCCGACGGAGGACCGCAGTTGCGGAAGCCCCGAGCGACCGCCGCGCGAGGCCTCCCCGCAGTCGTCTAGCTCCTCGCGGGAATATCGGCCGCCGCCGCCGATAAGCGCTGCGAGTGGGAGCTCTGCTGGTGGGAGGCGCGAAGAGGCGCAGTTGCGCAGGGCGCACTTGACCCCCAAGGCAAAATGGGGGCCTCGGGCGCAGACGCCGACGAAGCAGCAGGACCAACCAGCAGTGACGGGAGCCGCCACCGAGACCGCAGTTGCGGGGGTGGCCGGCGAGCCAGGTGCCGCGCGCGGCTCATCTGGGAGCAGCGCGCCCTCGGCCGTGCTGCTCGCAGCCGAGTCCAAACGAGGCGCCCAACCCGAAGACGAGGCCGCCTCCCAGGAGAAAGCCGCCGAGACAACCGCCTCGGCCGATTCGCGGCCGAGGAAAAGGCCGCCTCCCACGGAAGACTCGCCGCTGTCAGAACCGCAGTCGCGGGGTCGCGCGGGGCCTCCGTCGGAACCGCAGTTGCGGGAAGATGCGGGAGCACCGCGGAAGAAGCCGCGGACCAGGTCCCCTCCAGGGATAAACTACTTTGGGGAACGCCCCAAGTGGAACGAAGGATTCCTTCGTACAGAAGACGGCAATCGGGTTCCGTCCACCATCGCTTTGGTGTTCAACGTGGTGGTCATCACGAAGGTGGCAACAAAGGAAGATGTCTTCAGGTGCATCTTGCACAAAACTGCGGCGGTCGTCTTCGTCGTATGGGACCCCGAGCTGTTCCGCACGGGGAACGTCGAAGGCGCTTGCAGCTACGACGTTCCCGTTGGACTCAGGACTGCCGTCGAAGACGCTGTCATTTTGAAAAACAACACCGCGGAGCCTTACTGGGCGACGGTTGCCCTGTTCAGAGACACGGGCGTGGTGCTCGTGCGCCCGCACATCATCGCAGAGACCGCAGTTGCGGGTCATGTTGTTGGGGCCACCCACGCCGTCACGATCCTGCGCTTTCGCCTGAAGGGCTCCGACATGAATCCTGCCGCGGTGATCCGTTTTGCCGTCGTGTCCAGACACGCAGTCACCGAACGTCTCCAACAGAAGATCACGCAAACAGAACAAACAGCGTGGCAGCCAGGTTTCTTCAAGGACGCGGTTGCTTCCATCCATAAAAATGATGTGCGGTTCTTGTGCGGCCTGTTTGACATCCCGCCTGAGCAGCTCGCAGCATTTGGCCGCAGTTGCGGAGCCAGCTACACCTGCCCGGTGGGGGTGGTGTTCAGGGCTGGACCCGCCCTGTTCGGAGGCATTGTGGAGGGCACACGCGTCATGCATCCGAATTACGTCCTCCCCATTGGCCCGTGCGACGTGCGCATTGCGGACTACAACCTGGATTTTGCAGGGAGGCCGTCGAAGAACGATCCCCAGTGGCTCCCTGATTGGATGCATCGAACAAGCGACTCCATCATCTCTCGGCGCTGGGTCCCAGCGAAGTACATGCCCAAGTGGGAGGATGACCCTGACCGCAGTAGCGGAGTCAGAGAAAA